GCCAGCTGGCTGCGACAGCGCTCCCTTCTTCCCGTCTCTATATGCTGCAGCGATGGAACGTCGCTCACCCCTTCAGCGGTCTACGGTCCCATAAATCATCACATTATGTACACAGTGTATAGGACATGTGTATAGAATGTGATTTATGGGACCTCAGACTGCTGCGGAGGAGTGAGAGAGGCTTGAGAGCAAGTTGGCGCCGAGGATCAGGCGAGTATAATTCTTTTTTTTTTTTTTACCCTGGGCAAAAATAAGCACTTAACCCTTGCAATGCAGGGGTAGCCCCCCTGCAAGAGTTAATAAAACTTTTACCGGAGTTCTGCTTTAACGCTCCAGAATTCACCACTTAATTGACAGTTTTGGCTTGACTCACCTGTCAAGTAAAGCAGTAAAATGAAACCTATATCAACATTAAAAAGGTGGTTTTGACTTGGCAAGTATGCAGATTTTGTTTTTCTCTCGACCTACAATACAAGAACAAAAAACCTTCCTAACCAAACCAACTGCAGATCTGTATATTCAAATGCCCAGCGCAAATCATAAAATGGAACTTGGGGGAAAAAAATTAATGCAAAATAACACCATCACATAGCTTCACGAGGACAGAGTTAACAAATGTTTAGCATAATGCATTCCTAGTCATTTCATGCCAAAGGATTATGAAACCAAAACACACCCATTACCTGCCCTTCACTGCTCTGTCTGCATTTATCATATATTATATGGGCTGTTAAGCTATAAAATAGAAGTGCTACTATAGAGAAGGAAAGGTTACACACAAATGAGTTTCAAAGGCAGACACTTTTGGAGCATTTTATGGCCTTCTAGTTATGTGCATTCTAACACAGTCTCCTGGTTCCTTCTTTCCCATACCGTTCCCAAAACACGTACAGTTAGAACGGCTAGTGAGAAATAAAATAAGAGATATTTTTATTCTAAAAAAACTTAAAGAAAAGCCTAAACGGCACACCTGTTATGAATTGTCCCTGTAGCCTGCCACATTCCAATATTCATTTCTCAAATGTTTTCAGAGAGGGAAAAAAAAAAAAAAAGGAAGAAATTTTCATCTGTCATGTCTGTTGCCCTTTTGACTCCTTTCCCATCGCCCACTGGTTTTGCTGCCAATTAAAAAGCACGCACATTTCCCTTCTGCTAGATATCTCAAAGCTGCCTGCAACCTTATGTGTGGAACTTCCTTTCTAAAGACAAAAGTTCCAGCTCAGCACTGCAAGCACAATTAAAGAATAATAATGTTGCCAGTCTGAGGGGAAGTCATTGGAAAAGCTCTGGCTGTTTGTGACGGGGCAGTAAATGACATTGTATGGAGTAATTCCCAGCAATACATTATGACAAAAAGTCAGATGAATTCACACTGGAGCACAGGGATAGCTTTCCAAGGGCCTGTTCACACTACGTCCGGTTTCTGTGCTGACCTGATCCGTACGCTCCTGCGCTAAAAATGCATCCCAATGTATCCCTATGTGTTTTATGGGCTACAGTTCTCACGTACAGTTCGTTCAGGTTACGACAGAAAAATACTGCATGTCACATTTTGTCCGGTCAGGAAACGGTCCGTAAACACAAAACGCGTCAAAAACACTGCAGCTAACATACTGACAGCCCCACTCCAGCAAAAAAGTGGAGCGCATCACTGGAACACATCAAAAACGCGGCAAAACACAAAGCACCGCGTCTGCAGATCCGCACCTGAAACTCATGTCAACAGGCCCTTAAAGCAGAAGACATGTACATATTCACATACCTACAGCAGAGCAGTGCAAACCAGGCCCTTATGCCCCTGTGGTAAACAGAACATACGGTATGGTTTGCAGTAGAGCTGCAGCTAACGATTATTTTCAAAATCGATTAGTTAGCCGATTATTAAGTTTGATTAATCGGTTGCAGGGTTAGTCAAACTCCAGCCCGCCAGTTGTGGTGCAGCTACAAGTGCCATGAGGAATTGCAATACTCACAGCCACGACTCCCAGAGGCAGATGCATTCTGTGATTTGTAGTTCGCCACAGATGGAGGGTTGCTGTTTGCCCACCCGTGGTTTACAGGATATTAGGGCTGCAACTAATGATTATTTTCAGAATCGATTAGTTGGCCAATTATTATTTCGATTAATAAAAAAATAATGTGATCCTTCATTTAAAATAAACTATACAAATGCAGTGTTGCAAACAAAGTTTACTTCAGAATAAAACTGCATGCACAGTTTTTTGCAATCACACTGCACTGGAACACACAGCATTGTGGGCAGGCAGTGCAGGCAATCACACTGTGAGTGGTAGGCACGCTTGGGGTGTCATTGAAATTAATGGCACTGCAACGCACTTCCCACAGCAGAATTTCTCATGCCGAAACCGAAAATGACTTTTTTCCTACCTTTTAGAATTGTATTGTAAGCACATGGCGCTTGAATAGCTTCAGCCAGGGAATGACAGCTGCCACTGGCAAGATTCTGCAGAAGGCAGCTGTATTCACTGGATGTGAATACAGCAGGTAGTGGGCTGGTGCAATAGCCTGCTGGAGTAACACTTCCATGTATCTCACAGAGAGCACAATACACCCCCTGACAATTACGTAACCTGCTTCTAATGCATCTCCAGAAGGATGCAGCCATCTTTGTTTAGGCATCTACTTCATGGATTGAGATGTTCTTGGCTACGATCACATAGCTCAGCCCGTTGCAGCCTTTCACTTTGGGAATTGCTACAATTACAATGTTGCAGTGTCATCACTGAAGAAATGCTTCATCCTGGCTCTAGCAGACTAAGCACATCACCTCAGCCTAGGCACAGGCTGGCCATACACTACTCTATTTTTCTCGTTCAACCCATGGGCTGAACGAATACATAAATAAATAATAGGACAGATTCCTCCATCCGCACTACAAGGGTGTCGATCGAGGAATCCCCGCTGTTTGCATTGCGACAGCGGCCGCCAGCCTGTCAGACCACGCAAACAGAGTCAGAAGCTCATTGGCTGCCGGCCCAGTTCCTATTTCTGACTGGCTTCTTCAATCAGCTGATCATGGGATGCCAGCTGAAAGGGAGCCAGCAGCGGCACCCACTGTGCCAATTTCGGATGGTTACTCAAGAACTTGGGCATTTTTGTTTTAGCCAATTAAAGGCTAGTCACTGGGACTGTTCACATGCACAAAATCATGCAAAAAAAATGCATGTTATGCATGTTTTTCAGGTGCTCCCACTGAAGTAAATGGAGCTGAAAATTCTGCACATTGAGAAACCCACATACGTTTTCAAGCAACACATCACTCAGGTGTGGGCAGGCACCACTGAAAATAAGAGGATTCTGCATGATGAGTGTGGTCATGCTTTGGCAGAGCATGAAAAAAAAAAAAAACATCACACTAAGATGTGAATGGGGCCTAAATCATCAAAAGGTGGAAAAGAAAAATACGATTTCTATATACTGTATTGTGAAATATTAGAAATGTATCCATACAGGTACTGAAACACCCACCTTGATTCACAGTCATTTATTCCCAATTACATACAGTTTTGTCACCTCTGGTTTTAATACTCTTTCACATCAAACAGAGGTCCTAGAACCCATGACTTGTAGAGGTGACTTGGGAGTATCCCCAACTAGGATAGCTAGTTAGCTTATGGTGAGAAGGTAAAAAAAAAAGCCCCTTCCTTTCAATCTCTTTTCACATGGATGGTCCGATCGGGTCTACCCGTCGGTTTTTCAGGGGGACCCAATCTCATGCCCAATGCGAGTCTATGTGCAGCCAGGTGTAAATAGACACCTAAATGGACATGTGTCCGTTTGCACCAGACTCCAGTCAGGTCCAGAAAAACTAACTGTTTAGGACCTGTGCTAGAATGGGGGTAACCCGATGTAAACATCCATCTATATCCCATCGCACTCCTAACCGGAAAGATCCAAACTGATTGGAAGCGGGTGCTACGGTGACTGCGGATGGCACCGCACTTACATCAGTAGAAAATAAAGAGCGATCACTGGCACTCAAGGGTCAAGAAAATGTCAAACCTCCTTTATTGACATCTCAGAAGGTCTCACAATTTCTGAGGTGTTAATAAAGGATGTTTGACATTCTTGAACCTTGGAGTGCCAGTGATCTTTTTATTTTCTCCCTGATGTAAACAGACTCATAACCATTTGCATCCGACTTCCCATAAACCAGCATGGGGCTCGCCAGTTTTAGTTTTTTGCTCTAGCCCAAGATAGAGTTTAAAAAAACGGGACAAGCACAAATGTCACAGCAGTGACATCCATCTATGCACAGATCCTCTCCAGATTAACCCATGTGAAAGGTGCCTAACAGACAGAAAAGTGCAATATGATTTCCTATAAGAGATATGTACATGAAATACAAACAACACAGGTTTATTCCCCTTTATTCCTGCAAAAACACCCCACCAGAAATACACTGTGCTCAGGATTGAACGCAGACTGCAAAATAATGGGATTTCTTGAGTTGTATTGTGATTGTAATGTCTTCCTCATTGTAAAGCTGTGCAAAACTGTTGGCACTATATACATCCTGTATTATTATTATTATTATTATTATTATTATTATTATAAACAGTAACATTTTAAGAAACACACAAAAAACACTCAAGTGTGACTGGGGGCTTCAAGTAAATGTACACACGAAGCACAAACTTTGCACCCTGTTTTCATGTGTGTCATTACTCCCTCAGACTGTGCATTAGCAGGCCATTATCTCAATGACTGGTTCCCATTAGTGACAGTGATAAGGCAGACAGAGGAGACCTCTGCCCCGTACCCACAATCCCCCGGGGCCGATCAATCATCAGCCCCCACTCCATACAATGATTACCCCCAATGCACGTAGACCACATCAGACGTACACAAAGCACACACAGCCGCCCAGTGTGATTTCAGCACTTGATGTAGAAGCGGCCAGCTATCCCACAACTAAAGAGTGCGCGAAGTTCGCTCAGTAAATACACCTTGTAGTAGAAGCAGTGTAGCGGACCCACCTCTGAGAGAAGACGTGTGCCGTGCAGTGCCGATCACCGGTGCCAGAGCTGTCTGCTAAAGACTGCTTAGAACTTCCGCCTGTGGGTTTTATATGAGAGCTGCTCTCTTGGGTGTTCTCTTCCTCTGTCTACCTCACGCAGGGACTGTCCACTAACCCCTCCCAGAGAAAAGAGGGCGGCATAGTGCTGCTGCTGACAAGGGAGGGTGCAGTGAACCTGGCCAGGCCGGCGGGAGGGCGACGCCTCTCACTGCTAGGTACATGGCATGTTTATGGGCGTTGTGCCCCCTGCAGCCTTGCTCCTATCCCACTCACTACACCAATGTGACAGGCAATTCATATGTACTAAGTAAAAGAAAGTCCGCTCACATGCTTCCTGTCAGGTTCTCTTCCTGACAAGGAACAGACACAGTGAGAAGGAACACTGTCATATCTCTTTCATATTAGAGTTCCCCCTTTATCCTCAGTCATAAACCCCCCTTCACATCACAGTCCTAAACTACCACAAAATTCTAAGCCACCTCGGGGTGCCACAACACCCAGGTTAAGAAAGGCTGAGATTAAGTGACAGTAAACTAAGGAGTTAAATCTTAAAAAATGCATTCAAGTACCTTACCCATTAGGCCTCATTCACGCGAGAAAGGGCCAACACGTACAGCTCCGTGCTGCGTGCACGGCCATATAGGGCAGCTCCAGGGAAGGACAGGTGCTGCGTGTGATTAGTACGCAGCCCCCGTCCTTCTCTATGCGACTACGCGGCCATACGCCGCCCTACGCTCAACCCAAGTGCAGGTCCGTACGGGCGCGGGTGTCCCGGCTTGGACGCAGACAGGATCCATCCTGTCAGTGTACGTCCCATAGAGAAGGACGGGGGCTGCGTACTAATCACACGGAGAAGAGGGGCAGGCAGTGCCGCCGGCTGTATTGGAGAGCTATTAACCCTTGCAGTTGGTCTAGCGCACTGCAAGGGTCAACTACTTGTTTTGGTTTAGGGGCCGGAATACAGATGATATACACACCTGATCCTCGGTCCTGCAGCAGTCAGCGCTCACTTCTCTCCTCCTCTGATCCAGCTGTGGTATTATGTTCCTCAAAGCCCGCAAGGATCAGCATTATGCTGGCCATACACCTTACAACCATCGCACAACTTTTGTTGTGCGATGGTTGTAAGGTTATTAAAATTTCGTGCGACCTGCCCATTTTGGACAGGCAGATCGTACTTGCGATCATCGCAAGCTGAGGGGAGGGCTTGCCGATGATTGCAATGCTGAGCGGGCAGTGTGCGCTTGCACACACCGGCCCGTGCGGCTTTCCTCTTCCGAGCACGCTACCAACCCGCCGAAAATCGTACGTTTTTCTGCGGGATATCCAGCATGCTAGGAAGACGAAAGTCGTGTGACCGTACAGTAGATGTGGTCCCACGCTGCCGATTATCGTACGAGTAGAAAAAAAAAGTTTTAAAAATGTAAATAAATATTAGATTTAAAAAAAAAGAAAAAAACAATTGTGCGGAGCTAGCAGTGACAGCTAGCTCCGCCCAACTGTTTCCTATCGGCCGGCACCTGCTAGAGTCTTCTAGCAGGTCCCAGCCAATATATATCAACTGGGCAAAGCCAGCCGTGGTGCCCCGGCCGGCTCCGCCCAGTTGTTATTGTTTAAAAACAGATCAGCGTCCCCAGGTCATTTGGGGATGCTGATCTGTCATTTGTGGGGCTTACGGCCGGCCCTTTGGCAGGCCGTTCGCCCCGCTTCGGCTGACACTTCAGCCCAGTCGAACCGAAGCATATGACTTCGGCTCGGCAGAGCTGCTCAGCCGCCTTCGGCAGCTGTATGGGCTATAGTGAATGGCCCGCACAGCAGCCCTTCGGTTCGACTGAACCGAAGGGCTCCAGCAGCCAAAGAGAGCCGAAGGATCAGCCGAAGCAATGGCTCGATCCTTCGGCTCCTTTGTGAATAGCCCCCCAAATCTTTTTTAAAGGGTTCCTAGCAAAAAAATTGTCCCTTTTATTTTAAGATTCTGCATCTTGGAGCTACAATTCCTGTAAATAATAACAGAAAGGCTTCCCACCAATATGTGACATGGGAACCCTTATGCTAACCATACATGACTTGAATTTTGGCCGATTCCTGTTGAATTGTCCAAAATACGAGTCATGGGTGGGCCTGCTGCCATCAACTGGTTCAACAAATTTGATTGCAAAATCAAAAGGGATGGGTGACAAATTGTTGGCTGAATCAGATGCAGGCACTGTTTGAGTATTCAGACAGCCACTAGGGGGATGGCTGGCTGAATAAAATAGTGGACAGGCAGAGATTCCTTCATCAATGCTGTTTAGCATGTATGGAGGAATCGAGTGATTTCTCTTATTCAGTCTGTGGTGCATGATTAGCTTTAGATGACATGGTAGTGCAGTACCGAACTGTTGTAAGTACAACCTTAGAGCTGCGTGTTTTTACTATTAAATAACATTTTTACACTATGGAGGCGCTCTCTTTTGTTTCTATTCTGCATCTATGTCTAGTCTTTCATTTGTAATAAAGCACACTGCTCATATTTAGAATGGTATTTGGAAAAATAAACAAAGCACAAAAAATAGAACAACAGAAATAAAACAAAAAATATGCCTGGTATGTCTAAGGTTTTACCATGCATTATAGCTAGCAGCTATTTTTAAATACTTCCTAGATGCTGCTGCCCTCATCTGTGATCTGGTTCTCATTGTTACTGTTATATATATTGTTGTTACATGCATACTTACATTCTGTACTGATATAACATAAGAATCATTATGAAAGAGGCCACCCCCTTTTCTGCACAAACTTGTTATCATTGTGAATGTAGTGTCAGCATTATCACTAAGCTATATATTTTCACACATAGCAATTATGGCTGCCCTATGGCTGTACCTCTTTTTTTTTAAATTATTGAATACAGAATTAAAAAAATATAATCTGTCACCGGAAAGAAGAAATGAAAGGTGTGCATACACCTCCCCGATGCAGAGAAATTGACGCCCACAATCCCGGAAGTGTCAGTCACCTGTTCTCTAATAACAACGCAGCTGGCCGTACTCAGATGGCACCGCCAGGGTCACATCTCAAATTTTGTCAGCAATTCAAGCAGCGTATGACTAGCTTTAGTCACTACTGTGCCCTTTACTGATGTAGGTTGGTGGGAGGAACCGCTAAACAAAGATGACACAGGAGATCAACACTTTCAGAATTGATGGTTTCTTTAGAGACTTTGGGGGCTTTTACTCTGCATCAGAGCAGTGTTTGGCATTGTGTTCAGGGGAGGAGAAATCACATTAATGGATCAGTCCACTAATAATTAGTATTTTAATTTTTTGATAGATGTGTGAGCATTTAAAGGAGAACTATGACATGAGTGATTTCCACTCACGTCATAGTTCTAAGCCGACCTGTGACAATGAGACTGTCACAGGTCGGCTCAGTAGATCGGGAGGTGAGGGAAAACATACCGGGTTCCCTCACCTCTCGATCCTGTCACGGCTCTCTGCCGTGACAGGGGGAGGGGCTGGATTCCCCTCTCCCCGCTCCGATCTGCCAGCGCTGACTGGCGGAACGGACGGGGGAGGGGGCGGGTACAGCTGGCTCTGCCTCTAGATAGGCAGAGCCAGCTGTCACTCACGCAGCTGGGCGGATCCCGTCATCTAAGTCGGGATCCGCTCCAGGTGCGGCGTCTCAGTATACCGCGAGCTACAGCGAGCTAGTTTGTGTCCTCCCGTTACCCCAAGGAGAACTATGGGGAAAAACACTGACCCCATAGTTCTCCTTTAATCACCTGCCAATTGTGTATATATCTTCAGGACTCTGTTAGTAAGATTTTTGTGCTTGAGCTACTGGGTCAGCAAGCCTGCTGAGCCTATTATGAGGGAGTTTCTTTATCCATGCTTGTTTGTTTTTTATTGTATATTATGGAGATTGTAGCTAAAACATGCAAAGGTTGGCAAGAGGCCATACAACTCCCAGGTGGACAGGAACAGAGCTTTGAAATGTAGGAGGGTGATCTCACTTTTGGAGTATCCAATGTATATAAGAAGCTGAGGTCGTTCCAAATGACACCTAAAGCTGAGATAGATAGATAGACAGACAGACAGACAGACAGACAGACAGACAGACAGACAGACAGATAGATAGATAGATAGATAGATAGATAGATAGATAGATAGATAGATAGATAGATATGACCACTGCCATGTAAAATAGTGCTTTCAGGCCGCTATGGAACTTGCTCCTTCAAAAGCAAAGTTAAGCAGAGTGCAAAAGCTTTCTTACAATCTTATGATCTGCTCTGTACACTGAGTGCCAGCTATTGCCTTAAAGTATAACTAAATGCTAGGCTAAAATGTCTTGGCTAGGCCTAAATACTGTTTAGAATAGAAATATTTTTGATTATCTTTTAAAACATCTTTTTTAATACTTTTTCATTGCTTCAAATCTACATTGCTTTTCTCCTATCAGCTTCTTCCCCTGGCAACTTCCTTTTAATGCAGCCCCATCCTTACTGATAACATGTGACCACCTCCTCCTTAAGTTAGCCATTCACAGCTCAAATTTGGCCTTTGCTGGCACCTCATCGCCCAACAAAAGTTGACTTAGAAACCCTCTGAGCAATGTGGAAAAGGCTTTGGGACATCGGAGGAGGCATTGGAGCGAAGCAAATATCGGGGAGTGGAGGAGACATTGTGGGAGAAGACAATGAGGCAGCAGAGGGTGGACAGCAGAGGAAGGAGGCACCTTCATTTTTTTGTGAATGGTAGTAATTGGCAGCCTGTGAGCTGCTGATCATGGTCATTCATAAACTGGCAGAATCTCAGCTATGGCTCTGCTATAAGCTCAAGGTCTCCATAGTGACCCTAAGCCTTAACTTATGGTCACATAGCCTGCATTCAATCAGATTGTTTTGAGAGCCAGTGGGGCCGACTAGCAAGATACTGAAGCTGGGCCCAGTGGGTGATTCCTCCATCCATACAGTTTAGCGTAGATGGAGGAATCTGTTGCACTTTTTCCATCTGACAATAGAAAATCTGCAGAAAATCTATAGGTGTATGGCCAGCTTTAGGTTTTCTGAGCTGGTCTGCTGTGAGTAGCTCTGTTGCCAATTGAACCTTACATCGGTG